TATCTGAACAGGGCCTTATTATTAGAAGAGATATAACCTATCCAAAATCTGTAAATTATATATAGGCGGAGCCCTGCTCCATACACAATTATAAGAAGCAGAGTATTCAGATTTCTTCATTATACATTAAAATTTTTTTTATAGCAGCTTGCTCCATTATAAAGTGGCCCTGTCTTATTGTAACTAGCGTGGCCTATGTCACTATTCACATAGGCATATATACAGGTTATTACCTGGTAATATAATCCACATTTTTATAAGCAGCCTATGTGATTATAGACAGAGACCCAGGCATTATATTCTGCAATATACAGAATGATTACAGCAGCCGGTCTGTGTGCATTATAATCCACAGGGAGCCTATAGAAAGTAGTCATTGTTATTATATCAGCAGTGATTAGTGGGAGGAATAAAATGTCATATTCCCCTGGCTAAAGGAATACTACCGGGGCCTGTACAGGAAGACACCATACTCAACTGTGTACAATTCTACAGCTCTATACAACACTACGCAATTCTATACACAGCTATGTACAACACTACACAATTCTATACACAGCTACAATATACAACACTACACAAATCTTTACAACACTGTACAAAGCTATATACAGCACAAAACAATTTTATACAACATTGTACACAGCTATGTACAATACACAATACTATACACAGCTACAATATAGAACACTACACAATTCTATACAACACCATAAACTATTTTATACAACACTGTACGCTTCTATACACAATTCTATACAACACTGTACACAGCTATGTACAACACTACACTGTTATATACAACTCTGTACACAGCTATGTACAACACTACACTGTTATATACAACACTGTACACTGTTATATACAACACTGTACTCAGCTATGTACAACACTACACTGTTATATACAACACTGTACACAGCTATGTACAACACTGTACTCAGCTATGTACAACACTACACTGTTATATACAACACTGTACACAGCTATGTACAACACTACACTGTTATATACAACACTGTACTCAGCTATGTACAACACTACACTGTTATATACAACACTGTACTCAGCTATGTACAACACTACACTGTTATATACAACACTGTACACAGCTATGTACAACACTACACTGTTATATACAACACTGTACACTGTTATATACAACACTGTACTCAGCTATGTACAACACTACACTGTTATATACAACACTGTACACAGCTATTTACACTATTAACACTAAATAATGTTATAAAACACTGCTGTATACATAACTATACATAGTTCTACACAATTTTGTACAACTCTGTACATGGTTATTGTAGACCTCTACACAACTTTATACCACACTGTACACAGCTTTACAAGACTATACACAGTTATATAAATTATTCAAACATAATATATAATTTTACACACTTCTGTACAACTCGACACAACTATACAGCACTATACAAAGCTATATACAGCACTTTTCACAATGCTACAGCACTGCACACAATTATACAACAGCATACACAACTCTACACCATGCAGCACTGTAAACAATTCTACACAATTTTATTCAACACTATGCACAGCTAACTGAACACTACTAAACAAACCTATATACAGCTGTACACCACTATATACCCCTCTACAGTGCATTACACAACTACAGTATATCTGACTTGTACTGCTATACCCAACCAATCTGATCATACACCATTATATACCTCTCTAGTGCTATACACAAGTATATCTGACAATACACCAATAAGAGTGCTGAAAGAAGATATATCTGACTGTACACCATTATACACCCATCTACAGTGCTATATACAACTATTTCTGGCTAAACACCATTATACACTCCTGTGCTGTGCTGTATACAACTGTACATGACTATGCACCACAGGACATCAGTGCAAGGAGGATGATTTTAGTGAAGGAACTGATAATGTTCACTCAAAAAAGAGAGAAAATTCACTTCAATTATCCAATCATGTGGAAAGAAAATTCCTGCTGTTTCATTTCAGTTCTACATGATTGGGTAATTGAAGTGAATTCTACTTTCGGTGGATATTCCTAAATCGTTTACTAAATCAGCCTCATTGTGTCAGAAGTGACTCAACTTCTGCAGAAAAAAAATATCTGGAGAAAAGCTCTGTACTTCCATTCTTCCTATAGAGAAGTGGAATATCCACACAGGGGACTAGTGTCTGGTATAGTGAAGGAGGATTACTATATGTACACAGCTGAAGACTTGTGTGTACAGGTAGAATGTGATAGAAAGAGTGGTGGGGTACCTGATACCTGAGCTATACATACATAGGGGAGATTTACTACATCTGGAGCACTCAGGATCCATTGCAGCAGTGCATTGTAGCCAATCAGCTTCTAACCTCATCTTATTCAATCAAGCTTTGACAATAAATCCTGGAAGCTGATTGGTTTCTATGCAGAGCTGGACCAGATTTTGCACCATGCAGTTATAGTAAATAACCCCCATTGGTAGGGCAGGATAAATAGTATTCATCTCAGGAGAGGTTTGATGGAATTCTGGATACTGTGAGATATATATATATATATATATATATATATATAAAAAATATATAAAAAAACAAGTATATATAGTATGTAGCTCAGTATAGATGGGGTTACAAGGGATAGATGTACACACATACAGTATACAGAGCAGTATATATAGTGGATCAGTATAGATGGGGACACAGGTGTGTGTGCGTGTACATATATATATATATACACAGTATAAAAAATGCAGTATATCTATTTTGTATCTGGAAGCGTATATAGATGGGTCAGCACACAGGAGATGTGTGTGTGTGTATTTATACGGGTAGTATATAGTTTACAGGTGAAACACAGTATAAAGTGTGGGGGGAGAGTATATGGTGTGTGTGTGGGGGGGGGGGGGGGGGGGGGTCAGTAGCTCTCCGGAGATAGGTGTGCCCAGATTGTTCCCTGTGTGTGTCGGTCGGCAGATAAAGGTCTGCTCTCTCTCTTTCATACCTTCATTATCAGTCTCCGGCAGAGTGGTGAATAGATTTGCAGAGAGGGGGGTACACACAGCCGGGTCACCTCATTACCATGAATCCCCCCCCCCCAACCCCCGTCCCCTGTCAGCCCCTCTAATCCCCCTCTTTGTACTGCAGCTTTTCATGGCCGATAATGGCATTGTGCGCAGATCTGGCTGTATAGAGGCAATAATCCTCCTTATCTAGATTGGAAACAATTTCTAGGCGGACACAGACGCTGCCTTTCATGCTGCTATTTGCATCTGTTTGAAGCAGGAAAAAAACTTTTTCCCTTTCACTTTAATAATTTTGTGTGAAAGGTTGTTCGCCATTTCCAGGGACACGTGCGATGTGGGTGCAATCTGCTTTATCGGGGCGACCCCCCCCCACCCTTCATGGGGGATTACAGAGATTAAAGGGACACCCCACCCCCCTCCCCTTCCAACACCCCATACCCGGCCCTGATAATTGCCTGCACTGATTTGCACTTTCACAAAAGGTCTTTAGAGAGCCGAATAATGAGGAGGGATGGGGGGCATGGCAGGGCCAGGGGCCCCTCCACATCCAGAGCCAAGAGCCAGCCTGCCGACATGGGGAGAGATCTTTATTGACAAAATATTGACAGCTCATACTTCTCGGAAGTAGATCGGAGATCCGGACAGGTGTGAACACAAAACACAAAAATATGTACAAGAGCGACAAGAAAAGTCGCAGCGCCGGCGCAGCGTCACCGAGCGTCCAATAATAATAATAATAATAAAAGTCTTCTCCAAAGTTCTCCAGCCACAATCCATACATCGGCCCGGGGCTCCATCCAAAACTGCAAGTGCAAAAAGCTGTCCGTCAGCCCCAGCCAGGCCCGGGGAGGGGCCCGTCCCTCCGGGGCAGGGTAATCCGGGGGCCCCGCCGCTGTGATGTAGAAAACGAAAAAATAAAAAGTCCATCAAAGTGCTGTTTGGCGGCGATTAATCGTCCGATGTGACGTCGATCTCCTCCGGACTGGCCTGTTTGGTGGCGATCCTCCAGCGATTAATGTGGTGGGCCCCCTTCTTTTTCTGGGAAGAGTCGGAGCCTTCCTCCTCCAATTTCTGTCGCTTGAACTTCGTCCTTCTGTTCTGGAACCAGACCTTCACCTGTCGGGGGGAGAGATCGCACAAATCACACACTATTCCACAATTGTTCTCTATACACCCAGATCAGATACTAACGAACGATAAAAATCTTCTGACTCAAGGGAGACCAACCAGCAACATTCCCATCGATATCCCCGATACATTCATTCATTCAATTGTACACCACGCACACCGATAACACAACCACTACTTCCATCAACAGACACCAGTGAGTGCGATCTGTCTCCGATTGTCTGCAGGATTATCGTACATCGATGCTCTAACACCCGACCTGCCTGACATATTCCTGTTTCGTTGTGTGAATCAATAAGGTCATTGGTAAAGTCATGGGATTTACCCTACATTTTTATCGCACATACAGATCGGTAGTAATAGATTTATTTTCTTTTTACTATTTTATTTGTTTAACATTTAGCCGGCCCTGTTCCCATTACAGTCCGACTGAAGGATCAATATATATGACATAATCCAAACCAAATATATATTTATAAGTATCCTCTGACTGTATATAGAGGATCCACACACTTTAAAGTGAAATACCGATATCTGTACTCATCGCCCTGTAACAACTCTTTTTTTATTTAACAATACATTTATACACGCATGCATAAATATATATATATAACACACCTATATCATACAGATCTATATAATACAAAATCTTTATAATTCAAACACCTATATAACACATACATATAATACACATCTAAATATTATATACACATAAATACATAATACACATCCATATACTACATACACACAAACATCTGTATAATACATACATGTAATACACATCTATATAATACATCTACATAATACATACATATCATGCACATCCATATAATACACACATATACCACAAACATCTATATAATACATGCATACATATAATACACAGACATACATTTTCTATATAATACATACACACAAACATATAATGCAAACATCTATATAATATATACATATTACACATCTATATAATACACACCATAATACATTATCAATAAATACATGCACACAAACATATAATACACACATCTATACAATACTTACATACATATAATACACATCTATATATTCATACATATATTACACATCCATATAATACACACGCACATTAATACAAACGTCTGTGTAACACATACATATAATACACATCTATATATTACATATCTACATAATACCCATCGAAAATATACATCTATATAATACACACGCACATATACACATCTATATGCTGCACACATACATCTAATACTAATCTAGATAATGCACACATGTAATACACATCTGTAATACACATACATATTATACACAACTATAATACACACATACATATAATATACACTTCTATATAATACGCACCTATATAATACATATAAAGCATACATTTGATACACGTCTATAAAATACAAAAATACACACACATAATACATGTCTACACAAACTATACACATACATATATCACACATTCATATCATATACAGATACTCTAGTAATACACTCATACATTTCATACAAACATTCATATAATACACATCTAATACACACATACGTGTAATGCACATCTATATTATACACCCACACAAAATACACCCACACACACATGTATATATATATATATATATACACATATATATATATATATATATATATATATATATATATGTGTGTAAAATTGCTAGCTAAACACATTTTTATTTCTGTCCCAGGCAGAGCTCACCCTTCCAATAATGGATTTGGGGGCCCCGGAATAGATGAGGTCGGGGCCCCGCAGTGTCGGCTGCCTGCAGCTGACAGATAAGTAAAGCCTCTAATCTGCCCGGGCTGGGGGTCCTGTCTGGGTAGGGCGGGGGAATCCGGGCTGCGCCCCCCTATAGGGAAGGGTCACCCCAACACCTGCCTTCACCCCGCACACTTATTATTATCTGCTAATGATCCTCAGAGCTCATCACAATTATCATCCCAAAACAGGAATCCCCCTCCAGGAATAAATAATATACCCCCAGCACCAACATGTTCACTGCTCACTCATCGCACACCTTATGAGTATATATATATAATTTATTGATTTATTTATACATACAGATTGATTTTTCTGCATTCATCTTCTTCATAATTACAATGACATTCTCACTCAGCTGTCAACAATCAATAAAAGGGTAGTAAACGTTATTCGGTTCCCCATCTCCACCAACGCTGCAATCATTTATCGATCAAACACACCGATCCCGGAGACCTATAGCTGCTGATACAATTCCGAGAAATAAGCCCCCCCCCCCCCCCCCATCCACACACCTTATGGTAATACAATGTAACTATTCACACCCAGTGTATTTTTTTTATCCTTTACAGTGATAGGTGTAACAATTTACCCTATAGTGATGCACTTTATATTCACCCCCTTACAGTGTAACCAATCACCTCTCACCCACCTTGCAATGGTACAGTGTAACTATTCACCCACTATAACTAACTACAAATATTTACCCCGCTACAGTGCTACATTGCAACCATTCACCTTCTTACAGTGAAACATTGTTTTTCGTCCCCACAGTTATACAGCCTAAATATTCACCTCTTTACGGTGATAAGAGGTAACTCTTTCCACCTGCAGTGATACAGTGTAACTATTGTCCCTCTACAGGGATACAGTGTAACTATTGTCCCTCTACAGTGATACAGTATAACTATGCACACCTTACAGTGACACACAGTAACCGTTCCCTCCTACAGTGACTACAACAACTATTCACCCTCTACAGTGATGCGTTGCAATTATTCACCTTACACAGTCATACTGTAACTATTCACCCCCTACAGTCATATTCTTTAACTAGTCACCCCTACAGTGATATACTTTACCTATTCACCCCCTACAGTTATATAATGTAACTATTCACTCCCCTCAATTGATACAATGTAACAATTCACCTTCTACAGTGATACACTGTAACTATTCACCCTCTCCAGTGATACAGTGTAAGTATTCACTCCCTACAGCAATACACTGTTTCTGTTCATCCCTGATAGTGATGCACTATAGCTATTCACCCCTCCCGTAATACAGTGTAACTACTCACCCCCTACAGCTGTACACTCTTACTATTCATCCTCAGCAATGATACACTATAACTAGTCACTCTGTACAGGGATAAAACTATTCACCCTCTACAATGATACACTATAACTATTCACCTTCTACAGGTATAAACTGTAACTATTCACCTTCTACAATGATACACTATAACTATTCACATTCTACAGTGATACAGTGTAACTATTCATCCTCTACAGTGATAAACTGTAACTATTCACCTACATTTATACACTATAACTATTCACCCTCTACATTGATAAACTGTAACTATTCACCTTTTACATTTATACACTATAATTATTCACCCTCTACAGTGATAAAACTGTAATTATTCACCTTTTACATTTATACACTGTAACTATTCACCTTCTACAGTGATACATTGTAACTATTCACCCCCTACAGCTACAATGATAATATCACTAATCACGTTCCTCACTAAGGTGTAGGACTAATGATGGCATCACCCTGGTGGTATTCGGTGTTTGGAGGGTTCCAATTTCGGGGTGTCACTGAGGATTCATAGTTTAGGAGGGTGTAGTACCTGGGTCTCGGTCAGGCTGAGGCTGTGGGCCAGCTGCTTCCTCTCCGCTCCCACCACATAATGGTTCTTCTCGAAGGCGTGCTCCAACCGGAGGAGCTGGGACGGGGAGAAGGCGGTTCGGATCCGTTTGGGTTTCCGGGCCAGAGCATTGTGCAGCAAGAAGCTCTCCGCACTGGTGTCATTGCCTGCAGGGGTGACACATGGGGGTCAGAGTACAAGCCATATAGGATCTGTATATATATATATACTCATCCTACCTACCAGTTACACTGAGTACTGAACAGATCATATAGGAGGACCTCTGTACACACATAACATTGAGCCCTGTGCAGGCCATATAAAAATCTGTATATGTATTTATACAGTACATTCATTGCATCTATCTACAGTTTTTCTGAGCCCTGTACAGGCCATATAGAATTTGTATATGTATGTATACGTCTATCCTACTTCTGTACAGTTATACTGAGCACTGTGCAGGCCATATAGGATCTGTATGTGTATGTTTGTATGTACCCCATCTCTGTACAATTATACTGAGCCCTGTACAGGTCACATATGATCCACATCTGTATCTTTACATTCATCCCACCTCTGTACACCTATATAATACTGAGCCCTGTGCAGGCCATATATCTGTATCTATGCATTCAGCCCACCTCTGTGCACCTGTATAAAGCTGAGCCCTGTACAGGTCATACAGAATCTATATATGAGTCTATACAATAGTCCCACTGTTGTACACCTACATACTGTTTCTGTACAGGCCACAGAGTCCATATCTGTATCTATACATGTATTCCACCTCTGTAGACCTATATAATACTGAGCCCTGTACATGTCATTTAGAATCCATATCTGTGTCTATACATTCATCCTACATCTGTACAGTTATAATGGATCCCGTATAGGTTCCTTACCTGTATCTATACATTCCCCCTCCCTCTGTACACCTATATAATACTGAGCCCATGTCACCTATAGAATACTGATCCAAGCCATATAGGATCTGTATATGTATGTATACATTCACCCCACAGCTGAACACATATTTTTTGAGCCCTGTATACTCCATCTTTGTTTCGTATCTATAGGTTCATCCCAGCTCTGTACACCTATATAATACAAATCCCTGTACAGGCTATATAGGATCTGTATAAGTATGTACACATTGCCCCTACCTCTGTACAGTTCATATAGGATTCATGTACATGTATCACATTTGTACACCTTATGATATTGAGCCCTGAATAGGCCATATAGAATACATATATGTATGTATACATTCATCATTCCTCTATAAAGTACATTACACTGAGCCCTGTACAGGCCATATAGAATCCACAACTGGTCCCACCTATGTACACATATAATACACCTCTGTACACACATAATACTGAGCCCTGTACAGGCTATATAGGATCCGCACATGTATCTATACATTGATTCCACCTCTGTACAATTATAATATAATGAGCCCTATACATGTCATATAGGATACATTCCTGCATGAGTCATCAGCCTATATGTCCTCACTGCTTTACCGAATACGTGATTAGAAATACACGTGATATATATATATATATATATATATATATATATATATATACATATATTCATATAATGCAATTCGTTTTACTGTATGTAATATAATTAAATATGTATTTATTAATATAGACATACACGCACACGTCTATATGTTGTGTTCTATAATCAACGTTTAAATTGATTATAATTTCTTGGGCACCTTATAGATGAGATAATTCTACATGATGAAAATGATCTATATACATCCAGGTTTAGATGCAAAATCTATATAGCACCATAAGATACAAAATATAATTCAGTATATATTCATAGGAAGTACAAAGTACACACACAAAATAATAAAATATATATAGGGTCGATCAGTTTTTATGTCCACTACAACAGACTTATATCTACTACAGAAGAAAATACGAACCTGAATACAATATATATATATATATATATATATATATATATATATATATATATATATATATATATATATATATTATTACTGATTAATTTTTAGCCGAATTATAAACAGTAAATAAAGGGAGATACAATTGTGTGGGCTGATTGGTCTGCTCTATCCACTAAAGTGAGGTACAATTTTGCAGCTCTGCTATATCCAGTAAGTATGATTATGTTTGAAATAAATATTGAGATTAATTTTGCCTCCTCTTTTCATTATCAGGAAATGTTTCCTTAATATATTTCTATAATCTATTCATAATATATATATATGTATATATATATATTTTATTTTTTTTTTCGTGGAGGGATGGGATCATGGGACAATCTTCCGCAGGAGACTATTTACGGTTTTCTCTTTCCCCCAATAATGTCGATTACTCGCTCGAACAAACTGTCATTATTTGTAATAATCTACCCAGTTATTCGTTATTACTCTGGTTCTGTAGGTCCTGAAAACTTCCACCGACTGCAGTGAGAGAAAGATGCATTGCAAACAGATAATAGGCTAAGACATTTATTGTATATAATCGTAACGATGAATTGATTTATAGAAATCGTGGGGGTAAAAGATTCATTGTATATAATCGTAGCTTGGGTGATTAATTGTATTGAAATGGTAGAGTGAAAAAATACATCGTATATACATCGTAGGGCGAGAGATTCATTGTATATAAATCGTGGAGGGGGGGGGGGGGGGGGAATATATTGTAAAATTTGTAGGGCGAGAAATATTTTATATATACATAGTAAAGTGAGTATATTGTACATAAATAGTAGTGTGAGACAGATATGGTAGGGTGAGAAATAAAATGGTCTGTAAGTGGTAGGGTGAGCGACACATTGTATACAAATCTTATAGTGAGGGACATATTGTATATAAATAGTAGGGTAAGAGATGCCCCGTATATTAATAGAGTGAGGGATACACAGTATCTATATCTTACATAAATATGAGATGGTTTACTTTAGCAGAGGCTGTTTATGTAGCAAATGTGAGTAAATAAGACGAACCTGTGCTGACTGTCAGTACCGCGTGAGAAATGATCGGAGTATTAGAAGAGGACCCAAATTCACCTTATTTACCACCATTCACTTCGTTGGTGATCAGCCTCGTCCCCATCGCACAGTGAGGGGCACACATTGGGCGCTGAGCGATAGAGGGAGGCTAATATACTAAGGAGTTTAGGGGAATTGTAGCTGTGTTCACTTTATATCCAACCATGTACAGAGGAAGAAAATATACAGCAATTCACTGTTCACATTATTGGCAGTGAATGTTCACTGAATTTATCGTGTGAAAATTCTCAAATTTTTCAGCTATTCAACCTGATAGTACCTAGGTTGTTGGGTAGGGAATACATTATATATGTATTATAAGAGGAGGAATCCGTGGTATATAAATTGTAGGGCGCGGAATACATTGTATAAACATTTTAATGCGAATAATAAATTGTATTCAGATTGTAGGGTGAAAAATTAATGGTATATACATTGCAGGGTGAAGAATACATTGTATATACATTGTAAGGCGAGGAATACATGGTGTACAAATTGTAAGAAGAGACATACATTGTATATAGATTGTGGTGTGAAGAATACATTGCATGTAGTTTTTAGGGTGAAAATACATTGCAGGGTGAGGAATACATTGAATATAGGCTGAGGGATACACTGTAGGGTGAGTTTACATTGTAGATAAATTGCAGGGTGAGGAATACAATGAATATGCATGGAATGCATTATATATACATTATTGGGCGATGAATACATTGTATATTGGTGGTAGTGTGATGAATGCACTGTATATATGTGCATATGTATATCGATCGTAGGGTAAGGAATACATTGTGTATACATTGTAGGGTGAGGAATACATTGTACTTACAATGTAGATTGAGGAATACATTGTACATACATTGCAGGGTGAGGAATACATTGTGTATAAATTGTAGGTTGAGGAATATGTTGTACATACACTGTAGGGTGAGGAATACATTGTACATACATTGTAGGGTGAGGAATACATTGTACATGCATTGTGGGGTGAGGACTACATTGTACATGCATTGTGGGGTGAGGACTACATTGTAGGGTGAGGATTACATGTATATACATGTATATACATTGTAGGGTGAGGATTACATGTGCATACATTGTAGGGTGAGGAATACATTGTGTATACATTGTAGGGTGAGGAATACGTTCTATATACACTGTAGGGTGAGGAATACATTGTACATAAATTGTAGGGTGATGAATATATTGTGTACATTGTAGGGTGAGGAATACGTTCTATATACATTGTAGGGTGAGGATTACATGTATATACACTGTAGGGCGAGGAATACATTGTGTATACATTGTAGGGTGAGGAATATATTGTGTATACATTGTAGGGTGAGGAATACATGTATATACATTGTAGGGTGAGGATTACATGTACATACATTGTAGGGTGAGGAATACATTGTGTATACATTGTAGGGAGAGGAATATATTGTGTATACATTGTATGTACATGTATATACATTGTAGGGTGATTGTATACATTGTAGGGTGAGGAATACATTGTGTATACATTGTAGGGTGAGGAATATATTGTGTATACATTGTAGGGTGAGTAATACATGTATATACATTGTAGGGTGAGGAATACATGTACATACATTGTAGGGTTCGGAATACATTGTGTATACATTGTAGGGTTCGGAATACATTGTGTATACATTGTAGGGTGAGGAATACATTGTGTATACATTGTAGGTGAGGAATACGTTGTGTATACATTGTAGGGTGAGGAATATATTGTGTATACATTGTAGGGTGAGGAATACATTGTGTATACATTGTAGGGTGAGGAATATATTGTGTATACATTGTAGGGTGAGGAATACGTTGTGTATACATTGTAGGGTGAGGAATATATTGTGTATACATTGTAGGGTGAGGAATACGTTGTGTATACATTTTAGGGTGAGGAATACGTTGTGTATACATTTTAGGGTGAGGAATACATTGTAGATGCATTGTAGGGTGAGGAATATATTGTAGATGCATTGTAGGGTGAAGGGAAGTCTCTGAGTTGCGGTCTCTCTCTCACTTTCGTTTTTGTTCGCAGCTTCTGTTTATCTCGTTCAGGACTCAGAATGAGAGTTTTGCACTCACCTCTACATTGCACCCGATTTTTAATCCTTTTCACTCTAAACCTCACTCGGTTTTTCATTCCCCTCACTCCTAAAATACACCCACATTTTTTTTATCCTCTCACCCTAAACCACACCGATATTTTATTCCTCTAAACCTCAAACTACACCCTATTTATTGTCCCTTTTACACTAAACTACACCAGATTTTTCATTTCACCCTAAAATTCACCCAGTATTTTTTTTATCTCCCTCGCCCTAAACTACGCCCGATCTTTTTTTCATCTCACACTGAAATATCTGAGTTCTTATCACTGTTTCTCAAGTTTAATTTGAAACTGTACCTTTCATCTTCCTGTACACCCGGTTGTTAATGCTGTCACCCCAATCTACACCCGAAATCATTCAACTCTCTCGCTATCAGCCGGATTTCTATCCCTATCTCCTTCATCATTTTTTTTAAATCCCTCCGTACACCCGGATTTATCCTTCTCTACTCCCCGTACACCCGGAGTTATCGCTCTCTACTCTCTGTACACCCCTAATTGTATCTCTCTGTACACCCCAATGTATCTCTCTTGATCTGTATCCCTTTTCCCCTCTGTACGCCCGGATTTGTATTCCTCTCTCCTCTTTGTACAATCGGATTTGTATCTCTCTGTACACCCAGATTTGTATTCCTCTCTCCTCCTCGTACACCCGGATTTGTATTTCTCCGTGCACCCTGATTTGTATCCCTTTTCCCCTCTGTACGCCCGGATTTGTATTTCTCCGTACATCCTGATTTGTATCCCTTTTCCCCTCTGTACGCCCGGATTTTTTTATCTTTCTGCACACCCAGATTTGTATTCCTCTCTCCTCTTTGTACACCCAGATTTGTATATCTCTGTACAGCCGGATTGGTATCCCACCATACGCCCGGATTTGTCCCCCTGTCTCCTCGGAAAGTTTGGTGTGAAGTTTTTGGGTGACTCACCCTGGAAGCGGTGGCCCAGGTAGCGGTACCGGTGGATAAGCCAAGGGTAGAAGGTTGAGGGGTCCCTCTGCTGGGACGTGAAGATGGGGTGCGGGCTGTTGGGTAGCGGATGAGGTGCCAGGGCGGTGGGCACCGGGTGGACGGGGTTGGGGGGGTCGCTGAAGATCAGATCGGGGTTTGGGTAGACTCCTCGGCTGCTTGGAGGGTGAAAGCCGTTCAGGAAGGGGTTCATCGGGTTGGAATTGGCATAGCTGAGGGCGGCGGGTCGGATGGGCTCCTCGATTCGGGTGACTGGCACCGGGCTGTCTTTGGCCACCAGAGATTCGATGGTGAAGCACCTCTTGGGAGCGGGCTGGAACATGGTGGCCCGGGGGGCTCTGTAGATCGGTGGACACCGGCGGGGTCACTGCAGCTCCTCCATCACAGACCTCCGACTACTTGTGTCCGACCGTCTGTCTATGTGTGTGTGTGTCTGAGAGTGTGTGTGCCCCACTAATGACACACCAGCTTCCTGCGCCCGCTCATTGGACGCCCGAACTCCCAGAAGGAAGAAAAACACGGAGCGGATCCGGACAGCTGCAGAAACCAGGAGCTGCCACACCCGGGGCTCTAACGAGGCCGAAACTGTCTCCTCCTCCAACAGCAGTCTCTGTGCGCAGGGACTCCAGTGTGCCCATCACCCCATCCATCTATACCCTGCCTATGTGTTAAATACATGGATTTATCATCAGATTCCCAACTATCTCTGTATACTGTCCACCTCTGTACTGGGTCCTATCCCCCTCATTCATAGATCACATGAGACTGCTGTGCTCAGTACTCCACAATACACGTCTGTCATCATATGAGCTGTAAATATTTAAACAAAAAAATATTCTGTAAAACAAATCTTTTGAAAAGAACTTTCTCTAAACTGTCTAAACTTATTTTAAATTCCCCATACTGTATATCTGTACACTGCCCCCATATATCTGTATTATACCACCTGCCTATCTACATAATGCCCCCAATATATATATATGAAAAATGTGACAAATGTATCTATATAATCTCTCTCTCTTACCCCCCCCCCCCCCCCCCAGTTGCAGACTCAGCATCCCTCTAGTCCCAGGATCAGCTTCTCTCTAAGCCCAGGTTTGATATCCCTGTAGTCCAAGGCTTAGTGTCCTATAGTCACAGGTTCAGTTTTTATTGCCAGGCTCAATGTATCTGGGTTAGCCCTTTAGCTGGCCATACATTATACAGTGTTCTTATTCAATTTCTGTTAGATTTACCTTCTGAGTAATGCAAGGGCCTGTTTGATTGCATACAAATTGAAATTGTTTAGGTTTGAACTCATATCATATGGTTTGGGTAAATCTAAAGGAAAATTGTACAAGAAAATTGTATAATGTATGGCCAGCCTTAGTTCTAGGCTCAATGTTCCATGGATCCATCTGTAGTCTCAGGCACAACGTCCCTCTTGTCCCAGGATCAATGTCTCTCCAGTCTCAGGCTCAGTGCCCTTCTAGTGTCACACCTCCTCTAGTTCCATCTTCAATGTCCCTCTAGTGTTAGGCTCAGTATACCTCTAGTCTCAGCTCAGCGTTCCTCTAGTCTCAGCTCAGTGTTCCTCCAGTCCCAGGCTCAGTGTTCCTCTTGTCCCAAGCTCGGTGTCCCTCTAGTCTCAATCTTCTGTACCAGGCTCAATGTACTTGGATCAGTCTTCAGTAACAGGCAAAATGTCCCAGGATCAGTGTTTAGTCCGAATATGTGTCCATCAAGTCTCAGGCTCAATGTACCACTAGCCCCAAGCTCATTGATCTTTTAGTGTCAGGTCCAATGTCCCACTAGTCCTTTAGTGCTAGGCTCAATGTCCCTCTTATGCAAGGCTAAGTGTCCCTCTAGTCCCATGCTCAGTATTTCTCTAGTGCAAGGCTCAGTCTTTAGTCCCAGGATCAGTGTTTAGTCCCGGACTAAAGGCTAGTGCAAGGCTCAGTCTTAAGTGCCAGGATCAGTGTCCCTTAATGTTTTTGTTGCGCCTGGCTCATTTTTCAGTGCCAGGGTCAGTGTCCCTCTAGTCCCAGGCTTAGTGTCCCTCTCTCTCAGGCTTAGTATAGTATAATCACCTCAGGAGTTACTTAATTGTTGCCAACATCCCGTGGTAGTATGTAAGTAGATGATCCTCAACAAAAGTGTATGGGACTTTAAGGCAACTTCAGCATATATGTAAAAAACAGTTTTATTGTTACAAATGTTAAAACATTACATTTTAAAGAAACAAGAGAGAATAAAACTCAATGCAGTGTCTGAGTACATCCTACAGATTGAACATGTTGATACAGAACACATGGGTACAGGGGTGGACTGACAACTCATGAGGCCCCCGGCAATAGAGGATCATGGGTCCCCTGTGTCCTAGCCCAAACACAAAAAGCCTATGAAAAAAGTACCAGGGGCATCTCATGGGGCCCCCTACTGACCCTGGGCCCTCGGGCAGTGCTCGAGTTTCCAAATGGTCAGTCCGCCCCTGCTGGGTACATATCCTCCCTTTATGATGGGGAAGCAATATGAGTTCAGCAGAATCAGCAAGATACCCGACATGTTTTAGAACATTTGACTTCTTTCATAAGGGTTAAGCTGTCTCTCTCAAGCTCAGCATCCCTCTAGTGCACATATGCCAAATAGAAGGCTCGCGGGCTGAATGTGTGCTGTCAGGCCATTTTATGTGGCCCTTGAACCTCTCCTGCAGCTACGGCGCCTCCCTCATCTCCGTCCCCACCTTAACTCAGCAGTTGACAGCAGAGAGGAGAACAGAACTCCTCCATCAGATCCTGTGCTTCTTTGTGAAGCCACAGAGAGATTCTTCTCTGCCACCCTCCCCTGTCTTAGCAATTGGCAGAAGAGAGGAGGACAGAACTCCTCTTACACATCCTGTGCCTCTCTGTGCAGCCACAGCCTCCCCTGGTCTCAGCATTCAGCAGACTCTGGCAGCTGACTCTAGCTCTCCTCTGGTCCTTTTCCAGATCCTGCTCTTTCCACCTCCCAGCTCTGCCCCCAGCTTCTTCCTGGCAGCAGCACCATGTAAGGTGGTGCACTGAGATGCAGAGGAGGGTAGGGGACTCTTGACTTCTGATAGTTGGGGGAATGACATCTGATATTGGGAGGGAGGGGGGTGCTCTGGAGATCTAGTCTTACAGATACCACCAGCCGATGTATCAGATACAACCAGCCAAAATGCTGATGCGGCTCCCAATGAATTTGAGTTTGACATCCCTGCTCTAGTATCCATCTAGTCCAGGGGTGGGCAAACTTTTTGACTTGAGGGCCGCAATGGGTTCATATATTGGACCTGGGGGCCGGACCAAGAGTAGATGAATGATGTGTACAGTTGCAAGAAAAAGTATGTGAACCCCTTGGGATTCCGTGGAGTTTTGCATGAATTGGGCATAAAATGTGCTGTGTGCTCTGAACATCATCTAAGTCACAACAATAGAAGAACACAGTCTGCTGAACATAATACTACACAAACATTAGATGTTGCCATGGTTTAATTGCACATAACATGTAAACATTCACAGTGCAGGGAGGAAAAAAGTATGTGAACCTTTGGACTTAATAACTGGTTGACCTTCCTTTGGCAGCAATAACCTCAACCAAACGTTTCCTGTAGTTGCAGATCAGACCTGCACAACGATCTGGAGTCATTTTGGACCACTCCTCTTCACAAAACTGTTTCAGTGTAGCAATATTCTGGGGATGTCTGGTGTGAATCGCTCTCTTAAGGTCATGCCACAGCATTTCAATGGGGTTGAGGTCAGGACTCTGACTGGGCCACTCCAGAAGGCGTATTCTGTGCTGTTGCAGCCATTGTTTTGTTGAATGACTTGTATGCTTTGGGTCATTGTCCTGTTGCATCACCCATCCTCTGCGGAGCTTCAGTTGGTGGACAGATGGTCATACGTTTTCCTGCAAAATGTCTTGATAAACTCTGGAATTCATTTTCCCATCAATGACAACAATCTGTCCAGCCCTGAGGCAGCAAAGCAGCCCCAAACCATGATGCTCCCCTCCTCCATGTTTCACAGTGGGGATGAGGTTTTGATGTTGGTGTGCTGGGCCTTTTTTCTCCACACATAGTGTTGTGTGTTCTTCCCAAACAACTCAATCTTGGTTTCATCTGTCCACAGTATATTCTGCCAGTAGTGCTGTGGAACATCCAGGTGCTCTTTTGCAAACTTCAAACGTGCTGCAATATTCTTTTTGGACAGCAATGGCTTCCTCCGTGGTGTCCTCCCATGTACTCCATTCTTGTTTAATGTTTTCCTTATTGTAGATGTGTCAACAAAAATGTTACCATGTGCCAGAGATTTCTGTAGGTCTTTAGCTGACACTCTGGGATTCTTCTTTACCTCATGCAGCATTCTGCGCTGTGCTCTTGCAGTCATTTTTACAGGACGACCGCGCCTAGGGAGAGTAGCAACAGTGCTAAACTTTCTCCATTTGTAGACAGTCTGTCTTACCGTGGACACATGAACATCAAGGCTTTTGGAGATACTTTTGTAACCCTTTCCAGCTTCATGCAAGTCAACAATTCTTGATCGTAGGTCTTCTGAGAGCTCTTTTCTGCAAGGCATGGTTCACATCAGACAGTGCTTTTTGAAACCAGTAAACCCAAAACAGGTGTGTGTTTTTTTTTAAAGGGCAGGACAGCTGTCAGCAACACATCCAATATCATCACACTGATTGGAGTCAAGGCTGGCTCACTCCTGGCTCCAATTAGCTCTGGGAGAAGTCATTAAGCTAGGGCCTCACATACTTTTTCCTCCTGCACTGTGAATGTTTACAAGTTATGTGCAATTAAACCATTGCAACATCTAATGTTTGTGTAGTATTATGTTCAGCAGACTGTGTTCTTCTATTGTTGTGACTTAGATGACGTTCAGAGCACATTTTATGCCCAATTCATGCAAAACTCCACGTAATCCCAAGGGGTTCACATACTTTTTCTTGCAACTGTATGTGTCATCCATAGTAAGTATAGTAATATTCCCATATAGTAAGCATAGTAATTAATCCCCCATATAGTAATTCATCCCCCATATAGTAATTCATCCCCCATAGTAATTCATCCCCCATATAGTAATTAATCCCCCATAGTAATTCATCCCCCATAGTAATTCATCCCCCATAGTAATTCATCCCCCATATAGTAATTCATCCCCCATATAGTAATTCATCCCCCCTATAGTAATTCATTCCCCATATTAATTCATCCCCCATATTAAGTCCCCAAGTCCCCCCTGTGTCAATTCACTTACCTTTGCTCCGCGCGTTCCTCTCGACGTGTTCCCGCGCCGTTCCGGTGTAGCATGAAAATCTGTCTCCTATGAGGATCTGTCCCCCTCGACGTATCTGCGCATGTTTCAGGCATTAGCAGCCGATCGGCGATCTCCGGCACATGCGTAGATACGTCGAGGGGGACAGATCCTCATAGGAGACAGATTTTCATGCTACACCAGTCTTCAGGGCGGACTGTGAGAGGAGCCTAGCGGGAGCCTAGCTCCGCGGGCCGGATTAAAAGGTCCGCCGGGCCGTATACGGCCCGCGGGCCGTAGTTTGCCCATTGCTGATCTAGTCCCTGGCTCAGTGTTCCCCCATTATCAGGCTCAGTGTCAGTCTTTAGGACTAGTCTTAATGTCTCTCTAGGCTCTCATTATCTCAGGCTCAGTTTACCTCTAGCACCAAGTCCAGTGTCCACCCAGTTCCAAACTCAGTGTCCTTCTAGTGCCAAAATAGAATATTTAGACCCAGGCTCAGTCTTTCTCAAGCAGTCTTTAGTGCCAGGTTCAGCTACCTCTAGTGACAGGCTCAGTCTTCAGTACAAAGCTGGCACTGAGTGTCAGACTCATTGTCCCTTTATCCCCACGCTCGGTGTCTTTCTAGTGCAAGGATTAGTTTCCCTCCAGTTCCAGTCTTAGTATCCTTCTAGTCCCAGGCTCAGTGTCCCACTCAGTCCAAGCTCAATATCCCTCTAACGCCAGGCTCAGTGCCCCAGGATTAGTGTCCCTCTAATCACATACTCATTGTTCCTCTAGGTTGTGCCCAAC